GGCCCGCCGTGCCCCCTCGGCCGGGTAAGCGGGACTCGCTGCTCTCCCAGCGCGGGCACAGCTTGGGGTGCACGCTAAACACGTTAGCATTAGTAATTTTCTTCCATCTCAGACTTTCTTTTTACTCAGCTGAGTGTCGAAGGATGTAGGATTTACCTAGGGTCAGCAGGGACCTTGCACCGAGGTAAAGCAGGGAACCAAAGCCGTGCTTGAGGCTGGGGGCAGCTGCCAGCCAAGGGGACGGACTGGGAGCGTCACCGAGAGCCTGTAGCCCCCACCTCACATGGAGAACCCCTTTGGCAGGGCAAAAAAACCCTCCGACATGCTATCATCTGCCTTGTTCTGTGCTGTAATCAGTGCGGAAAAACTCGGGTTTGGAGGAGGAGCTCCTGGTAGGGACGGAGACTTACTATTTTAGACTGAAACTTGAGCACAGCATGCACTTCTGTGTAGTTGGCATTGTGCAGGGCAGCCACATTATGCTAGTGGTTGGCAGTCTTTATGCCTCATCCCTGCTGTTCCTTCCCTCCTCGTTTTGTGCTGTCTTCCCCTTTGCCCCAGTGTTAGCATTTAGGCTTTCGCTTTTTCACTTTGTCCCATTCATCTATCTTCAGGCTTTTTCAGCTTGGTTTATCTTGCTTTGCACAGAAATTGTTGTGCAAAAGCTTTGTTTTTACAGTGCCTTGCTTTTAATGGCAGTGCATCCTACTAGTGAGGCTGGAGTCACTGGTGCAGAATTGTGGAGGACACTCTTTTCTTTCTTTCAGGTACCTGGCTTGTTCCTTACCTATGTTTTGAGAGATCTTAAAGACTGTGGCCTAGTTTATTACAAAATCTTGATTCATTCCCCCCGCTTGTATCATTTAAGAAAAAACTGGTAGAGGATGATTCTGCATTTACCAGTACCATTTTACTTGCATTTTTTTGCCTGTTGAAGTGACTGATTTTGGCATGTACAGCGTTACCCTCTGACTTTTGAGCTACATGCTGCTCAGTCGCCGTTCAGGGTAGCTCCCGTCCTGGAGACACCTCATATGACCAGAAGCTGGCTCAGGTACTGAATATCTAAACTGGAGAGAGCAGTTGGTGGGCACACAGTATTGCAGTCAAGGTTGCCAGGCTCCACACACGCACCTCTGCATGCCCTGTCATCCTACAGTGATGTGAACTGCTGAAGGCATTTTCACTTCCTAGCAGTGAATTGCTCCCAGCACTCCTCCTTTTGCAGACTTCCTGCAGTGGCACCTTGTTTCTGGCATGCAGCATATATGATCAGGAAGATTAGATGTTTTTGTAAGAAGCTAGATTTTTTTACTTGTTTTTTTGATTTCAAAAGGAGGTTGCCCCTTACATATCTCAGGACTTGACCCCTAAGAATTATAAATGTAGCAGAAAAAGAGTGTTAATATTTTATATTCTTGCACTCTAAACATTCTTGTGTTTTAATAACCTAGTGTACATTTTTACATTTTTTATATTTAAAAAATACAACTAAATTCACTGTTATCCACTCGTATTTTTTTTTTAATAGTCGGACGCAAAATGAAGGTCATCCAAAATGGTTTGTTCTGGGTGTTGGACAAGTCATAAAAGGGTTAGATATTGCTATGATGAATATGTGTCCTGGAGAAAAACGGAAAGTGATCATCCCTCCGTCATTAGCATATGGACAGCAAGGATATGGTAAAAAAAAGTTTTAATACCAAACTTTGTCTTTCTTCTGTTTTACCCTTTCAAACATAACAGTATTGTAAATGACTGTTTTGAAAGAATTGGTGCTCCATTATTTTTGGAGCTACTTGAGATGATGACTGCAGCTGTGCAGCCTAATCCTGCTCATTCCTGTGCAGTTTAAGTAGTCCTCATCATAGACCCGTGCCCAGGCCTTGCAGTTTGCATTAGAGTTCAGTACATGGCACCTGATGTGTTTTTCCAAGTATTGCCATAAAATGAAAAAAAGACAGCAAAAGGAAGATCTTCATGATTCATATCAGCATTTTTTGTCTTACTCTATTATATTCTATTCGTGTTTAGTTTCTATTATTTAACCCCTACCTGCTTAGCCTTTTAATGAAATTTTTTGTCTTCTGAGCAAAATGGAATGTAATCTAGTGCATGCCACAGAATTAATCTAAGTAGAAGTCATTTGTTTAAAAGACTGCTTACATTCTGGATAGTTCATAGACGATATCATCACATTACATAATTATTGCAACAGTACAAAGCGTGAAATCTGATTTGAATTTATTATGCTTAAGTGTGCAGTCTACTTAAAAAAAACCCAAACAAACAGTTCTGGTCTGAGTTTTATGCCGTGTTTCAGTAATCTTAAGTGGGGATAACAAATTCAGGTCTGACTTAGTGTAGTAGTTTCTGTGAAAAGGTAGCTCCTGCTCTGTAGTAAATGTTTGGTAATGGTATTGTGTCAGAATTCCATGTACCAGTTTTGTCTTTGATGCAATTCCATTGTAGCTAGTGAAGTTTACTAGGAATAATTTTTTCCCCTTGAGCATAATGTTTAACAAGTAAGTCTCATAACAACAAGGAAAAACACTGACACAAATAAAAGTATATACTTTAAACCTAATCTAGTGTTAACTGTTTGTTCTAGGTAGCACTTCAAGAAAGTATTATTTTCCTACAGCATCCCTGTTCTCTGTCTCAGCGTATTCCTGCATGCTGGGGAAGATGCCTGCCTAATCTTGAATTAAAAAAGATGCATGCGGCTTTCTAAATCTTTACATATCTTTCCTTTGTTGGTATGTATATTTGTAAACTACTGGCACTGAATTCTAGTATTGTATCTTCCTCTTGTAAGTAGTATATAAACCATGATTTATATTTGGATATATTTAAAACTTGCGCATTTTTAAAGCTGTAAGATTAAAATATTTTGAACTCTGAAACCTGCCATTTTTACTATGGATACTTTAGATGAGAAGTGCAAGTAATAGTTTTGTTTACCTTCTGTTTATAAACAAAGTAGATTCTTTAGTTTTTCTTCAGTTTACCAAGGATGGGCACAAGCTCAAAATTCTGAGGTTACAATGTCATTCTCACTGGCTTTGGCTATGAATAGAAGCAACTTGCATGTTTATATTTTAATGTTACACTGCATGATTTCTTGATGCTTTTTTGGCTTTACTTTTAGACCTCATTAGTTTGTTAACGTCTCACTTCAGTTCCCTTTTTTTTTGCCAGATGCATTATACAATGACTGTGTTTATAGGCAGTGGTGTATTTACATCAGATATCAGAAAATGCTTTGACAAAGAAATAATGAAGTCTTAATATGTTTATTTTTCTTCAGGGACAAGACAAAATATTCCAGTAGTTTTTTGGGTTTGTTGCTTTGGGGTTTTTTTTGTGAATCAGATGACTTACATTTTGTTGCTTCTTTCTAATGAAATGTGTATTTTAAACACTATTTTACATAAAGTCCTTTAACCATAAGTATAATTCATAGCATGTTGGTAAAAACTGATACTGCCTTCTTGTTTCTTCAGACAAAATATATGTGAGCAATGGTCTATTACTGTAATCTTTTAAATCAGATTGCAGATAATAAATAAAGGCATGCATCTTAGAGTCAGTCTCTCAAGCCCCATTGTATGACAGTACAGCATGTGAAAGAGTGAGAGCTTTAGAAATACTTGCTTTTCATGTTAACACAAACCCTTCTTTTAATTTTTAAAAGACTCTGAATTGATATAAGTGATATAATTTTGTTTCAGGGAATTATATTGCTGGCAGATCTCTCTCAAAATCATTTATCTAACACAATCTGAACAATCTTCCTGTCTAGCTGTGTAATATTAACATTCAGAGTTTAATCTGAATATTAACACAGCCTTTTGTAATAAAAAAATAAGACACTTTACGTGTGAATTTATATGTGTGATCTCTGACCATACTGTCTGATTTCTTAAATACTTTTTTCCTTCTCTTCATAGCACAGGGCAAGATTCCACCCAATGCAACATTGATCTTTGAGATTGAACTTTATGCAGTAAATAAGGGACCTCGCAGTGTTGAAGCATTTAATCGAATAGACAAGGACAGTGACAAGAAACTCTCTGAACTTGAGGTAATATAATGTAACTAATTTGGAATAAATAATTTCTCACTACAAGACAGACATTGAGGTGCTGGAGCGTGTCCAAAGAAGGGCAACAAAGCTGGTGAGGGTCTAGAGCACAAGTCTTATGAGGAGTGGCTGAGGGAGCTGGGGTTGTTTAGCCTGGAGAAAAGGAGGCTGAGGGGAAACTTATCCACTCCCTGAAAGGAGGTTGTAGTCAGGTGGGTGTCAGTCTCTTTTCCCAAGCAACAAGTGACAGGACAGAAGGAAACAGCCTCAAGTTGCACCAGGGGAGGTTTAGATTGGATATTAGGAAAAAAATTTTCAAGAAAAGGGTTGTCAAGCACTGGAACAGGCTGCCCAGGGAAGTGGTTGTGTCACCATCCCTGGAGGTATTTAAAAGACAGGTAGATGTGGTGCTTCTTAGGGATGTGGTTTAGTGGTGGACTTGGCAGTGCTAGGTTTACGGTTGGACTTAAGGGTCTTTTCCAACCTAAACGATTCTATTATCCTATGATTTACAAAACTATAGGTATAGTTGCATCAGTGTTACCTTTTCATGAGCTGCCTCTGCTGCAGTTCATCATGTAAAGCTTTTGTATGCTCACATAAACTACACTGTGCAATGTTGAAATTTGCTTTAATATATTACTATGTCTCAGACTTGCTGGGAAACAAACTTTAGATGTGTCTGCACTGGAGTCACAATAACTCACATACATACCCCAGGTGTCCTTGAAGATGGCTGTTGAGTACTGGTGTAAAAGCCTCAACGGGTGGACTTTCTTTCTTTTCTTCTAGATAAGCCAGTATTTGAAAGAAGAATTTGCAAGAGATGGCAAAAAACGTCATCCTTCAGTCCATGATGAAATCTTAGCTGATATATTTAAGAAGAATGACCATGATGGAGATGGTTTCATATCAGCAAAGGAATACAATGTCTACCAGCATGATGAACTCTAAGTACTTAAAAAATCTTTAGCTGTTTTCTGGACACTCAATTTTAAATAATAATGCTTCGTCACACAATTTTTTGTATTTTTTTATAGTGGCATCTTTTTATATCTCTTAAGGTGACTGCAAAAATCTTATTTTTAACATTCAACTAATAAAATGTGTTAGATATTTCAAAAGAAAGAAATAAAAGTGGAAAACACCATGATCTATCATTAGTGGTTCCTGCATCATGTCCTAAACTACAGTATTGCTCAGTAGTCTTTCTTATTGTGTAAATTACTTATGAAAATAATTATTTCTGTCCTATGAAGCACACAAAAATGGTTCCAATACCTGTTGACGTAGGTAGAACATAAGTTCTCAGTCCTCGGTAAGATAAAAGGGGAAAACAGAATCCCAGGAAATTAGCTCTGTTGAACTTCTGCAGGGTCCTAGGCAAGCTTCTTGAGGAATTGCTGTTTGCAGCAAATTTAACTATAAAAGGCCTTAAAATAAATGAATGCTGGTTATGGAATGTCAAGATAAAAACACAAATGTTTTTAAAGCAACTTAAAATACCCTCTTTGATATAATATTAACATGAAAATTTGGTGTTCATGAAAAAGCAGTATTTTAAGTGGATTTTTAAACTTTCACTTAATTACCAAATTATCCAGTTTATTCAGCAGCACCAAGTTAAAAATCTACACTATGGTGATTTACTTGGATGAGGTGGCAGATAATAGCAGATACTCTATATAATATAAACATAAGTAATTATTTGGGCATCATTTGGGTTTCTCTCACTTGGGAAAAATGCAAAGTAGCAGCAATAGTTAATAGTACTTGAGGCTCATTAACTGTTCCGCTTATGCATATTTGTATAAGATACTTTTCTCATGTGAAAATCCATGGCTGTATTTATTTCAACATGTAGTAATCAGATGTACGTAGCGAAAGTGGTATCACAGGTAAAAAAAGCTTCAGTGCAGGGGTTATCCTTAAAATAATTCTAAAACATAGAAAAACATTTCATGGTTGTTTTCCCAGTTTAAAATAGGACAGGGAGAGCTTCAACAGTGTACTAACCAACAGGACTCCCGATCTGTGTTGGACACAGTTCTGTAGTGCCCTCTGGTGTTTATATCCTCAACAGACTTAATTTTCTGTGGTAGAGATCTAATGGTTAAAGACCTTCGCCTCAAAGTCTTGATGGAAGGATGCAGTTTTGTTATTTTCGTAAGCTTCCAAAACATTTTCTGTGAAGCAATTTTTTTTTTGAACACATAAAGTCAAGAGCAGCTGTGACCTAAAATCCAAATGCAGAAGGGTGACTGGCTGGTAGTTTCTGGTAATCTAAACAAACCATTGACATACGGTAATGGCATCCTAATACGAAACGCCTTTCCCTAGTTTTTGTTGGTCCCTTTTGTAAATGAAACATTAGACTGAGCTAAGTTTTAGCATGTTTTTTAATCTGATACTTCAGTTAAACATTCATGAGAACACTAAATTATTAACAAATATTCTCATCTTACCATAATATACCAGTGTGGATAAAGGCAGTATTTTGGGGGTTAACAACAAGTTTGTGTAAACAACTTAAAGTAAGTTCTAGCATATATTTTGACATTATAAAAATCCAGTTTAAAATTACATTTTTCATTGTGATGGTAATGAGAGGAGAAGGTTCTGGAAAGAAGAACAGCAATGCCAGGGAATGCACGAGGGCATTTTCAAGTAAGAGGTTATTGACCGTGAAAGCAAATAATTTGAAGATAATAGCATAATAGAATGTTTTGCACTTTAACTAGTTTGCATTTCAACAATCTGAGTCACACTTACTAATTCCGAAAAGTTTGTGGCACAGTTATGCCCATGTCTGCAACAACAGGCACTTACCTCGCTCAGTTACTTAACTCGCTTATGCCAGAGGTCAAAGCAGGGCACAGCGTGCAGTCGTACGTACTTTTGTCCATTAAAAGAACACTCGAGGCATCCGTAGACTGTCTCCCTTTTAGAACTTCCCATTCCACAAAGGACACAGGGACCTTTGGGGATGTCGTTATTAAGCAAATTAATTCGGATATGAGACCCTTCTCTGAGATAGCTTGTAGATAGATCAGTCATGCTCGCAGCTTTTTCATAATAATCTGTAAAAAGGTCCTCCAAGTAAGCATCAGAGTTAGGAATGGTATCCACTACTCTTTTATCTGAAAAAGAACACAAAAAAAAGAAGCAATGATTTGTCATTACATGATGAACTGTTTACAAAACAATCTGTCAGTCTAATTATGGAAATACCAACTGATTCATGAAACCATTTTAAACATGCTGTGTTGTAGATTACTTCCCATCAAAAGCCCTGCGTGATGAAAATTTTTCTTTAATTTCACAAAAGACACTGACAAGTCAGAAATTTTTGTATATGATCCATATAATTATAATATTTTCCAAAATGCACCTAGAAGATAGTTACGAGGTAAGCTCTTGAAAAATTGGTGCCAAATGAAATCACAGCTGTGTTGAACCATTTCTATTTTTGCATTTCTAGGTTTTTTTCTGAAAATCATAAATTAACTTCTTTTTTCTAGTTTAAAAAAAAAAAAGAAACACCAATACTTCAAAAGTTTAGAAAATTTGGAGATCCTAGCAGATTTCTAGGCATCCAAACACCCCAGGAAGAAGTCACTTTTGGAACTACCTACCTTTTTCCTCTCTCTTCAGGCACTGATTAGTTTAGATTGGATGACAAACTTTTAGGCAGCTACACCTACTGTGGAGTATCATACCCACTGAAGATTTATTCCCTTAGTGTGGACTGGAGCAGCACTGAAGGCTTGGTCCATAAAAGCCCTTTGATCAAGAACGGGATACAGGAGCAGGGACACCTATACTGAGCAGCCTTTAGAAGGATGTGTTTCTGCTCAACATTTATCTTCGCACTCAGATTTGCAGATTTCCAAAATACTTAGATGAAGGAGTGTTAAAAGTTTAGGATCTTGTTCTGAAGAAAACACAGCTATGTATAGAGATACTCAGTTTTGTTGGCTGTTATGTTTGTATTGGAATGAGAACAGAACTGTGATGGTATCTTGCCCATGTCCCTGCCATGTGAACATATAGCCTAAAGACTACATTCAAGTATTTAAATTTAATTGTTTGATATTTAAAGAGTTTGCCCTGAAATATTATTTATCGATTATAACTTGCATTGCATATCACTAGTTGTTAATGGCAAGCATATGAAATGGGCTTAATGTTAACTGAAGTTAGTTGTACAATTACTCCATACCAGTTTATCATCAGCCATCAATTTTTATTTTAAAATCTTTAGAGTTTTAATGAACAGCAATACCATAAATCTGTTATCCGTGAGAGTCGGATTCTCAAATATAAATTTTAATAACTTTACAATCATTTGAATACACAAGAAAGAAATTAAAAGATGTACATTTTCCATCATAATTTTCTTCTTTAAACGTTCATCTTGCACACAAAGAAACAAAAAACACTCTTCATGCATTAACTAAGAAAGACATTTGGATATAAATATCAAAAGTCATACTTCGATGAAACAGATTTCTCTTTAATCTCCTTAATTTGGTCAGTGAAGATGATCCAGATTTCTCTTTTTCAAATCCTCCTTTTGAAACTGGAGTCACACAGAGCTCTGTAAAAATGAAAAATAAGATTTTAGAAGAACAAAATATAAAAGCAATAATTGCACAACAGAGTTTAATATGCTTTCTAATCTATAAAGCTAACTGATTAAATTCAGCTTTGCTAATGTTTTTAATGGCTAGTACCACTTTTTAATACATGTCTGCACTCAGTAATAGCCCATAGAACCAAGGGACACAGATTCAATGGGAATTTTAAAATGTTGGTGGCTTTCAACATACATCATCAGAGTTTGTTTTGTTTTTTACACAATTTATGGCCATATTAAGGGACTAAGTCAATGTCATATAAATGCAAGTTCCACTTCAGAAGGAGAAACATTTCTATGATCTCATTTGAAACTAAAAATGAACATAAGCCAGGCTGTGAGTTCTGCAGTCATCTCTTCCAGCACCAAATCAACTACTAAAACTTTTTTTAAATAAAAATAAGTATCATCTCAGTTTCTATCCATAACTTGAAAGACAATCTTTAACATGAAGTATAAGTTTCTATCCATAACTTGAAAGACAATCTTTAACATGATATATAAGAATAATCAATTACAAGGAACTGAAAAAAACAGGTTTTAAACTTTCTGAATTGAGAATTCTCTAATTATGCAAATACAAATATCAGCTTCATTGATTATTTCACTGATAATAACTTCAGCAAAAACATTCTGCATGTACCTACCATTGCATAAAGGTAAAATAAAAGACTTCCAAAATTTAAATTAATGTTGAGCATTATGGAAGTGAATATAAAGAACTACCATACTGTTTTATCTCTTTTAATCCAGTGATTATGCTTGGTTCGGAGTATATTTAAAGTTTTTTACAGAAGGGTAAAGGTATCTCCCAGTTCAGTGAAAAGGTGCTTTACAATGCAGAGTACCTGTCATACTCTGTATGCCAAAGGGTACGGAGCTATTTGCAACTTGTAAAACATAGCGCTGTACAGATCTGCAGAGACCGAGATTATCTTCCCTAACCAGGTCCTTTATCTTGCTGTTCACAGAGCGCCACAGTGTTACCGAGAGTCAGGCAACTCCTGAACAGTTGAGTGACTCCCAGAGAGGTTCCTGTAGTTAAGCGCATGTGAATCTGGTGGTTAAAACTTTATCTAACATCACTCTAGCCAATGGGGAGTTTTGCATTTCATATTATCAAGTACTGGATCGAATCCTACAATTGACTTTCTGGATTATTACAAACGATATTGATAACATTGATAATGTTATAGGCTGCACTTTAATTAGTGCAAATAATGTAAATACATAAGCGCTATCCTTTCCCCAAAAGGCAAAAAACTTACAGGTGCTATGCAATTTTTTTTAATTAGCTTTTAGTAATTGTGATTATTTCTTCTTGAATGTCTTCAGATATCCGTATGTGGTAATGATGTGTCAGACTGGAATTAAAGCCCCAACAGAAAAAAAATGTTAGCTTAGTTTAAGAGTTCCGCACACTTTCTTCTTTCCTTGGCTCTTTTTACATGCCTGTTTTATGCAGAACTGATCAGGTGGTCTGATAAGCCTGTTCCTTACTGGCAAGAAATATAAAGTAATTTTTTGTTCAATGCAACTGCAGGATTTAAAAAAAAATACAAAATCATACTTTTAAACAACGTTTCCATGACAGACTATTTTCTAGTTCCTGCCTTGTCTATCTTTTAAAGAGTGGTTTCCCTTAGAAAGTCAGACTACTTATATGCATAAAATAAAGGCATACCATTGCATGGGATCCGGGCTTATGTATATCAAGAGCAAGAAAACTGTTTTAAAAACTCAGACCATTATAAATAATAGCAGCAATGCCAATAATGCACCTCACTTACCAAAATTACCGTCCAAATGAATATAAAGTTCAAATACACTAAAAGCAATAGTTGTATGTGCAGGAAATACAATGGCTTTATCCCGCCCTTTATAATTCTGATCTTCAATAATGTGAAACTGTAATTTAGAAAAGCATCAAAAGAAAAAAAAAGTTACAAATTGAAAACAAAAAATAAGCAAAACAGTAACTTAACTGTATACATTCAGAATTATAATGCCAGGGGGAAGCTTTGAAATTGAAGATCAGATATCACAACTAAAGGATTTTATATTAACAGCTTTGCATTTTGATCAAGTTTGATACAGAGATAGTAACAACTTGCATCACTCTTTGAAAATTATGTGAAAGATTTATAAATACTACTAATGGGCAATCTTCAGAAGATTTGTAGATTCAATTATTCAAACACACTGAAGAGAGAGAGGGAGAGGGAGGAATAACATAAAACAGGGAATAAGATGCCAAGCCTTGAAGTAATAACAACCTGAAGTTCCAATGTGTTATGGAAGATGAATATATTAATGAAAGATAGGTTACACATTTACTGGAGATTCAAACTGAGAAGTAAATTACACATTTTTGCTGAGGCTTCACCCAAAGCAATAGCTCATTGTCTAGCCATCCTTTCACACGCATTTCCCATCCCTCAGTCACATAAGCTATACTAACAAAAGACCAACTTTTAATTCAGTTTACATCAGTGCAACAACATCGATTTACTTCAATTTTTTTTTCTGAGCTTACATCAGTAAAAATGCAATTAAATCCAACCATAAAATGTATAAAAATGAGATTTTTATGTTTGTTCATTTAAGTTACAGAACTTTGACAACCATATTTACCCTCATTGTCTCTCCACGCATTCCAGTATGGACGGTTAAGGAGCACTGCCTTGTAGTTCTAATACTTTCCATGACCACGCACAAAATTTCCATCCTACTTTTTCTTGATTGATGGACTAGACAATGATCAAAGTTTATTTTTCTAAAATCAAGAGGAAGGAAGGAAATTCAGAGATTATTAGCAATTTACAAAGCAGCTAATAGAATTAGTAACTTTAAATCAGTAAATAAATCACCATAACTTCTGTCTCATAGCGGGTAAACAACTGACTGAGGAGGTCTGTGGAAACTTAATATTGATTTTCAGTGTTTGGGAACAGAAGCACTAAAAAAATTAAATAAAGCCAGTAATGTACAAATATTAGAGAGGATATGTGGGACATCCTGGAAAATTCCAAGTGTGTCCATCTGACACTGTTCTTAATGACAGTAAGGAACTGTCAACACACCCTAATTAAAAACAATTTTTTTTAAAGTGATATAATTAATGTCAGTCAGTAAGAATTTATGGAAAATAGGTAGTAAAAGCAATAATGCTCTACCGTTAGGGTTCTGTAAAGCTGCTGCTGATGGAATGTTTTGGTTAGAAACCTACGTGATGCCTATACAAGCTGGCATACACTCAATGGATTAAAAACTGGTTAACTGACATGCGTCAACTATAACTGAAAAAACCTCTATCAACTATAAACATAGAACGATCATGAAACAAGAGTGTTTGTAGGAGAATTTCTACAGGCATTGGCTCTTAGTCCGATAACATTGAATATTTTTATCAGGAGACTGGAACCTCTTCCCCCCTTCCCCCACTAATTATTAATGATAATGTTTGGAGGTTACAAATAAACTGGGAAAAGGTAGGTACAGAACAAGAGAGGTTACAGATACAAAATCACATGCACTGCTTGGTAAATAACTACAAGGAAACAATATATATTTGAAAATACCAAATGTCACATCATACATAGCGAATAATTTACCGGGATGCAACACTGGGATTCACTGGGATAATTGTGGGCAAGGAGTAATCTTTGAAATATGAACTAGAAAGTTACACCTAGGATCAGTTATATCATATTCGCTTGTGTTTGGCATTTGTGCCAGCACTACAGGAACACAAAGTTTGGTTTCAGCATCACCAGCTCAACAAGGATGTTGGAAAAATGGAGACTGCATTTAGAGAAGAGCCACAGAAGGTTATGAAAAAATCAAGTATATAAACGTACTTTGCTTTTCAAAGAAAAGGCTGTGTAATAACCTCGTAAAACCTTGAAGCACCTACATTCACAATAATACATTTGGCTCTCTAGTTCATCAGACAAAGGCAAAGAAATCCTTATTCCAAAACTTGAAGTTAGGTAATGTCATTTGAAGTAAATTTCAAATTTTCAATAGTGTGGAATAACATAGATAGGACCTTGGATGGACTCTTCCTCTCTGGATTCCCCCCCCCCCCCCCCCTCACAACGCGT